AAAAAATATCAAAAATATTAGAATTAGGATTCATTCCATTCAACTTTTATTTTCTTAATTAGAACTAAATTTAGGATTAATCGTTCTCTTAAATTAAAACAAAAAAAAGGACTTTCATTCTTAGGATTTTCTTTTTTAGACGTAATATTTTATTTCGCGCGCGTTATTTTTCTCTCTCGTATTTTATATAATAATGTAACTGAGTATGGGATGTAATAGCCTAGATTTAAAATTTTGCACTTTATTTTCTTGCACCTCTTTTATGTAATTGTCCCGAAGCCCTGTAATAGCTGTAGGACTTTACTACTCACTTTTACATTCTTATATGCTTGTATATAATTGCTAGTAAGTAGGTGTGCATGACAAGATTAATCAAATCAATCCTTAGATCACTAACATAAGATAAATATCTGAAAATTGAACACATTTCTCACACTTGCACCCTTACGGTATACCTCACTTGGTTGCCTCAGACAATAATGGTCATGTCCCTCGAGCGTAGGGATATCTTAGCAAAGACCCTCAATCTAAAAGTCATAATAAAGATCATGATCCCTAAACGTCCCTCGAGTTGCCTACGAGAAACGATCTTATCCCTCGATGTTGCCTATATGATGACAGTCCCTTCGAATGCTGAGATATTCATACATGTTGCCTTCGATGACCATAACGTTCCTTTCGATAGTCCCTCAACATCTGACGATAAGGCTACCTACTCACTAATAGTAGGATAACACTATCTAAAGGAAAGGAGGAAAAGAACACCCTTTTTCGAGTAGGTAGATAACTCTTAAGTACTTGCTCAAACCTAGAATTTTCACACTTACACACTTTCAAAACTCTTTTTCAAAACGCTTTATCACACTCTTGAAGACTGATACAAGAGTTACCATAAAGTAAACAAAAAACCTTCAAAACACACAAACACAAACAATTTTTTTCTTCAAAAATGAGCAAGTACCTAAGAGCCCATGGAAAACCACAGATGGAAAGGGTGTTAACACCTTCCTTTTCCATAATCTACCCCCTTACTCAGAAAATCTCGAAAAAAGTCTTTTTATGTTCTTTTCACCCTTTCCTTTGTTGGATAAAAGAAAAGTCGATGACGACTCTTGCTTACTGCGACATTTGCAAACAAAAAATGCAAAACCAGTATTAAACAGTCGGTTCTTTCACCGTATCACACGGTCTAGTTGCAATCCTTTATATTTACAGTTAAATATAAGCAAATGTGGCAGTACTTATAATTTTGATGTTGTTGCGGAGAACTCTAAAACTAGATTGCGGTCATAATGGTGATTGCAGACTGTAATTTCAAAATATGTTAAAATCCCTAGAAACTATAATAAACCAAAAACTAGGGATAGTTCTATATAGTCATCCGAAATCGCAATTGTGGCCATAATATATAAAGGTTTTATAGGTCTCTATGATGCCATCGCAACTAAAATTGCAGTTGCATTTGTATTTTAGTGCAATGTCAAGGTTGGCAGTTGTTGTACCCCAATTTGCCCCTAAGATTCTTCTATCATCTCATATCAACTCAATCATAATAAGATCACACTAGGGTTTGGATTTTCTCCCTATCTTTAGGTTTGCTCATGAGGAATCACCAAGCACCTTGATTTGCATATTATGATCATATATGTTTTGTATTTATTAACTTATAACTAATAAATATAATGAATGTTTGCTCTAGTTGATGATATTATAGGTGAGGGCACAACACATTTCATCAAGTTGATTCATAGGTTCATGAGTTTATTTCCATGCCTTCTCCAACAAAGCTTCATTGAGATTCAAGCTTCATTGAGATTCAAGCTTCATCATTGAATATGATTTAAAGTAATATCATGACAAGGTCTACTATGATTCATCATCCCTCAATTTATTAAAGAAAGTCAAAAGATGCAAGGGTTGATTGAAGAAGTTTAACCTAATTGGACAAGTTCTTGATTTCTTGATCACAAGTGCATAACTCCACCAATTCTTAATATTTGGAAGTGTTTATTGTTGCTATGGGTTCTTATTATCATCCGCAACAATTTCTATTCACATGGCAAAAGTGATTGTGCAAGAAATGTTGTCAAAATTGAAAGGGGTTCCAAGTCATTTTGGTGCTTTAGAAGCTAGGGTTTTGAACTTCTAAGGGCTATATCTTGCTCATATTTTGAGATTTTTGAGTGATTCCAAAGACATGCTTCTCTTTAAAGAGTCATCAACCAATCACTTCAAAAGTTTCAAGAAAATTTTGTATGGAAGATTCCTAATGATTGAGAAAGATTACATGTCCTCTAGAGAGGCTATCAAATTCTCTTTATGTGACTTCAAAATATCATAAATTGGTCAATTTTTATCTCCTTGAGCCCATTCTTTTTCCAAAATGATCTTAATGATGTAAACTTCAACTCTTCTTTTATGTTCAAGACTTGAAAATGGGTGAAAGATGCCCTAAGAATTCAAAAGATTATAGGTCACATCATGGATTTTCACTAATCTTACAAGGCCATAACTTTTTCAATACTTGGTATTTTTGAGTGATTCAAGTTTCACAATGCTCTTTGTGAAGTCTACTTCAAGCTAGCATCATTTATCAAAGCTCAATTTTGGAGGAAGACCTTGTTTGAACTCAAAAGATTATAAGTCACTTTTGAAGAAAAACTTAGAATTTTTCTAAGTACAAAATGTCAGCATCTTTTTCTCAACTTTGACTCATCACAACTTTTAGCTCAAGCACCCAATTGACATCACTCTTTGCACATTGTAAATTTTGTGACCTTATCTTTCAAATGATTCAAGAATCACGCCTTAATCTATGAACACCATGGGTTCAAAGATGGTACCTTGAAACTGAAGTTTTCTCCAAAGTCAGAATTTGAAATTCATAATGTGGCTTCTAAACACCAAATTAGCACGTGTTTTTGATTTAAACATGCTTAATTAAGTTCCAAAGTTGGATTAAAGATCAAAACGCAAGAGCTAACCGAGTTTTGAGCAAAATCAAGTCACACTTTTCTCATTTTCGAGTTTCCTTTGTTTTCCCTCCAAACTTCACTTTTGCTTCTAATTCTTTTCACCATTCACTCTCCTATAAATAGAGGGACGCGTTGCTTTCATTTTCTCAAGCTTGAACATCCAGAATCACCCTGCCAAACTCTCTCCTTAACCCACTTTTCTGCAACTGTAAGTGTTTGTTGGCAACAATTTTGGTAAAACACTGCTTTTGTAATGTTTTGCTTAATGTCTTTACATTTGAAGTAAAGCATCTCAACTATTTTTGAATGATATCAAAGCAGCTGTCTTAACATCTTCCTTCTGATATGAGCATGTTTTCAGATTTTCTGTTTCCTGTTTTTAAGCGTTCCTTATTCAGGTTTTGTGGTTTATAACTTGCAAAAAATATGGAGGAATATTTTTTAATCTGTCTCATCTTTATGGATTATATCTTGGCCTGCTTTCATGGAGATATTTAAGGGATTCAATATATTGCAATATTTTTTTCCCAGCCCAAGCCCATAAAGAAGCTGGTGCGCCTTTATAAGGACTTGCATCCTTATTCGTACAACTTCAACAATTGAAGAAAAATATACTTTGTGTATTTTAGAAGTATGAATCTTTTAATTGTAATATACTATAGTCTTGTTTCAATACTTGAGTTGTAAATTATGGATCATTCATAAGCTTTTAAGTATTGAATGATTGAGGTTTTTCAAACTTGATAATTCTGTTGTTTTTCACTGTTAGTGAAGAGATTTGAGGAGGGCCTCCTACCTAGGTGTGTCTTAGGTAAAAGTATAGCACGGATAGTGATTAAGTGATTAGATCGTAAACTGGTTGTTTACTGAGGTCTATGAATTGATATTATTTAATGGACTTGTCCCTGACTTGGTAGCCCCCAGAGTAGGTATTGTTGTACACCGAACTGGATTAACAATCTCTTGTGTTTTTACTGATTTTAATATTGTTGCATTTTATATTATCCTCAGATATTTGTGTCGTGACATCTCCTTCGACATCACATATCTGATACCAGAATTTCAATTGGTATCAGAGCAGACATCCTGCTCTATATCTGGGTGAGATCTAAGGAAGATACTTTCTGGTACTATGGACAAGGAAGGAGGATTTGTGAATAGACCACCCATTCTGGATGAAAGCAATTATGACTATTGAAACCACGTATGGTGGCCTTTCTAAAATCTCTAGACAATAGGGCTTGGAATGCTGTCTTAAAAGGATGGAAACACCCTGTGAAATTGGGAGAAGATGGAGAACCTAGTTTCGTGTTAAAGCTAGAAGAAGATTGGTCTAAAGAAGAGGATGAAATTACACTTGAAAATTCTAAAACCTTTAATGTTATATTCAATGGAATTGATAAGAACATTTTCAGATTAGTAAACACATGTGAATTAGCTAAGGATGCCTAGGGGATTCTTCAATCTACCCATATTGTTTTACATGGTATATGTTATAGTGACAAGATGCAAAGAGAGAATGACACACAAGAATTGGAGAAAAAAAGACATCTACTAATCACTACACGATTACTATGAATTCCGACGAGATCCTAAAAGCAAACAACATTGCAAGACCTTGGAAAACTGCATTGTGACTATATATCAATAAGACACTATTCGAGCTTGGACGTGTCTGCCACGTCAATATAAGTGATTGATCGCGATGTGATTTCTCTTAAGCGTGTAAAAATTTCACATAGCAAAGTTACAATTTTTCACCATTGAAGCTTCATCCTTTATTGTATGATTAATGTACTACTCTCTTAAAATTTATTTTATTATTTAATTACTCTAATCTTGTACCCTTATATGCTATTGTTATGTTAATGGATACTATTTAATTGTTTATCTAATATTTGATCTTAATGTTTTTATTGTTTGTTCACCCGTAAATTGATTTGTTGTTTATCTTGTGAAACTAGTCATGAAATAAGTAAATGTGTTGAATTAGGTATTCTAATTGACAAACACTTAAGAAGTAACATGGAAACTGACAGTGATCCAAAGGCAAACCCACCCAAAAGGCAGATCTTTATACTCTCCGGCCAAAGCAACATGGCCGGTCGCGGCGGTGTAATCAAGAACCCCCACCACACTCCCAACAAGCGTTGGAACGGTCTCATTCCGCCTGAATGCAGTCCCGACCCTTCCATCCTCCGTTTCAGCGCGGCCCTCAAATGGGAACAAGCACTCGAGCCCCTCCACGCCGACATTGACACCAAGAAAGTCTGCGGCGTCGGTCCAGGCATGGTGTTCGCCAACGCAATACGGAAGTCTGTACCCGGTGAGTTAGGTCTCGTTCCCTGCGCTGTTGGCGGCACTGCAATAAAGGAATGGGCACGCGGGGAGGAATTGTACGAAAACATGGTCAAGAGAGTCAAAGAAAGCGTTAAGGGAGACGAATATGCAGAGATCAAAGCGTTGTTGTGGTACCAAGGAGAGAGTGACACATCCAGTGAACATGATGCAGAGGCTTACAAACTCAACATGGAGAATCTCATCCACAATGTTCGTCAAGATCTAGATTCTCCCTCGCTTCCAATCATTCAGGTTTGGTAAATAACTTTGTTTTTGTTTATTTATATTATAGAACAACATCAAACAAAACAACCTTAGGACTATAGTGATGTTTGTTATTAGGTTGCATTAGCGTCGGGGTTTGAATACATTGAGAAAGTGAGAGAAGCCCAGAAAGGGATTAATATTCCGAATGTGGTTTGTGTTGATGCCAAGGGATTGCAATTGAAGGAAGATAATCTTCACTTGAACACAGAAGCTCAGATTAAATTGGGACACATGCTGGCTCAGAGTTTTGTTACTGTTTTTCAGAAGTCAACAGTTGAGTCCTAGTTTCAAACCGGATCTGCGGGAACCATTGGAGGAATCTACTAGAGTTTTCGGAGATTTGTTATTATATATTGATGGATCTTATTTGTTTGTTGTCAGTGTGCATCTTGACACACACATGTGTATCTATTTGTGTGTCTTAATGTATGAGTTTGATAATTTATGGTTACATGTAAGGTTTAAATAACAGTCGTGGTCGCGTTAAAGCTTTCGCGATTTCGGTCGGTACACATGTTGTAATACTTATTGCGGTCGGCGCGGTGTGAATTAATCAATTTGTTGTTTATCATGAAAACGGTGAATAACGGTCTTGGTACCTCTTGATACTGTTTTGTCGCAGCCGTTTTTGCAGTAACGAATTGTGTTTTAAAACCTTGGTTACATGTTAAGAAGTTTGCCAGATGTATTATGATGTTGTATTATAATGAAATATGATGGGATATCCATGAAAAACATATTTACATTGTTACACTTACACTTTAATCTTTTTAGATTGTGTCTGGTTGATACTGAATCGCTCTTTTGTTAACTTAGCAGTAGTTTTCAGTTTTCATGAACTTCTCTGTTTCTGGATTTGTAAGCTTTTTGTTGTGTTGTACATCGAAACTTTATGACTAGCTGTTTTAGTAGTATTCTGCAAAGTGTGAGTTGGTTTTCTCCAGTTTCTTTTCCATTGCCTTGTTCCTATCCACATCATTATCACGAGTTGTTGGGAACAAATATTGTTGAATCATGATTTTGTTAATGCTGTCTTGGTTATCTTCTTTCTGTGGGGGTGAAAGAGTTTGGACAGAGTAATGGTTTTTTTAAGATTATTGTTGTGTTCATGTGACATTCTGTTCTGCTTGTGTATGCTTTGATGCAGTGCTATATCATATGTGTGTTATGTGTGCTTTGTGCTATTGGAACATTAGGCCAATATTTCAATATTGGGAGATAATTTGAAAAAGTTCTTCGAGTTTCATATTGTCTATTAGTTGAAAAAACTCTTTAATCCTATATTGCTTAGGTGAGATATCTTAGTTAACTCAATTCATTATATAAGGAAATTCTTTGTTTCATTCTAAGTTGTACCAATTTTTTTTTTTTGTTGAGTTTTTCCTTTCTCATTCTCATAACCATGCGTCTTTTGAATTGTCGAAGTGCCAACTTCTCTCCCTTTCTTTCTATTGGTTGAATTTTCTGAATATTTTCTTGAATTCTCTTAAGACGGAAACTGTTAACTTGTCTGAATTAAATTCTGCTGTAAAAGCTAAAGCAGATGATTTATAGCTCAGAAAAAAATGGTCTTATGGAAAGAGAATGATTTTCTCTACAAAACCATATTTTTAATTGACTTGGAGATGATTTGAATAACTATTATAGTAAGTGCGATACTGCAAAATTGGTTTGGGAGGCTATGAAAAAGAAGTATGACACAAGAAGATGGAGCAAAGAAGTATGTCGTTAGCCGCTACCTAAAGTATTAGATGGTATAAATGAAAGGTTTGTGAAGGCTTAGTGTTACGAACTTCAAAATATTGTTTTTAAGATCATCACAAAAGGTATATTTTTAGATGAACAATTTTAGATTGCTTTTATTTTTGATAAATTTTCCCATAGTTTGAGAGTTTTTAAAATTTTGCTTCACCGCAAAACAAAATAATTTTTAATTGAGAGTTTGATTATCCACCTTTGAGTTGAAGAAGAATCTTAGAGACAAGATCAAAAAGAAAAAATCTTAGTTGTTTCAACAACAAAAATAAACTCAGTGTAGTTCTGAAGCAATTTGGCAAATGATTAAAAAATCAAAACTGCAATATTGCGAACCGAATATTGTGAACCGAATTAAGAATGAGAACCCTTCATGGGTCCCAATTACTCCAATTGATAGGAAACGACCACCACCATAAAGAAATGACAGTGTATTTTTTCTCTTACTTCAATTGTTAGAAAATCAGGTCATATGATTAAGAAATATAAGATTGAGTTTAAATCTTGTGTTGCCCCTAATGCATAGATTAACCCGATTGAGGAGCAATTTATTGATTTGATCACTAAAATCAACATGATTGGTGAATATCATGGTTGTTAGGTAGACATTGGCTTTTCTCGTCATGTCTGTTATGATCGTGTAATGTTCAAAACATACACGAATAAGAAAGTGTTGTTGGGAGTTGCCCACACCACTAATGTTGTCAGTATTAGAGAAATGAAGCAGCGTCCACATCTGAAAAGACTTTAATCTTGGAGGATGTCATATATACTCATGAGATTATAAAGAGTCTTGTTTATGGTTTTCTTCTAAATAAGACAAGATTTAATCAATCTATTGGGATAGATTTGTACACAATTATGTGAATGAAATTGAAAATTAATTTAGTAAAAAAATTAAAAGGTTTCGTAGTGATAGGAGGACTTAATATGATTCTAGCTTATTTAATAAATTTTATAAACAACAGTGAATTTTAAATGAAATGAATGCATTATATCTCTAAAAATGAACGATAAATCAGAAAGAAAGAATAAAACTCTTACTGAACTAGTTACTACAAATATGTTGAATTCATGTGTTGTTCCTCACTGGTGGGGAGAAATTTTGTTGATTGTTTGTTATGTCTTGAATTGAGTTTCCAAGTCAAAAGTAAGATCTCTTCTTATGAGATATTAAAAAAAAGACAACCAAACTTGTTTTATTTAATAACTTGGGATTGTCTGGCTTATGTCATAAATTTGAATCTGAAGCGAATTAAACTCGCTAGTATAGCCCATGAATATGTATTCATCGGGTATGCAACAAATAGTAAGATATATAGGTGTTATGACCTAAATTTTAAAGTGATCATAGAATCTAATGGTGTTGAGTTCTATGAAGACAAATTTTCTTTTAAATCGAAAAATAGTGGAGGCACTGAATCAAATCACATTCTGTGATAAGAAGCATTGAAAGCAACAACAAAGTAGAATCTGAACTTCGACGAAGTAAACGAGTAAGAGTTTCTAACGATTATGGGCCCAATTATGAGGCCAATACAGTAGAAGAAGATCCAACAAATATTAAAGAAGCCTTATGATCTTTGGATGCAGATTTGTGGCAAGAAGTTATTAACGATGAGATAGATTCTCCAGAATCTAACAAGACCTGACACTTAGTAAAATTGCTTCATGGTTGCAAATCAATCAGTTGTAAATGGATTTTGAAAAAAAAACTAAAACTTGATGGAACTATTGATAAGTACAAGCTTTGTATTGTATCCATGGGTTTTAGGCAAAGAGAAAATATAGATTTCTTCGATAATTTTTCTCCAGTCACTCGAATTACACCCATTAGGATACTAATTTCAATAACTACTATTTATAACTTAATAGTACACCAAATGGATGTTAAAACAACTTTTTTAAACGGTGACATAGAAGAAGTAATCTATATGGACCAACCTGAAAGGTTTGTAATTCATGGACAAGAAAACAAGCTCTCTAAGTTAGATAAGTCTCTGTATGATCTAAAACAAGCTCCAAAGCAATGTCATAAAAGTTTGATAACTTAATGATATCAAATTGGTACAAAGTGAATGAAAGTGACAAATGTATTTATTATAAATTTGAAAATTACATTTACACTATCATATATGTATCTATGTAGAAGACTTGCTCATATTTGGATCAACTCTTCATGTAGTGAATGTTGTGAAATCATTGTTGTGTATCAAATTTAATATGAAAGACCTCAGATAAGGTAGTGAGGTTCTTGGTATCAAGATCACTAGATTCAAACAATGAATTTCTTTGGATTAGACTCGTCGTGTGAAAAAGATCATAAAGAAATATAGCTACTTTGATTGTAAACCTGCTTGCACGATCCAAGTGTAAAACTATTTAAGAACACTGGTGATAGTGTCAGACGAAAAGAATATGCAAGCATCATTGCAGTCTTAAGTATGCCCTTGATTGTACTAGACCCGACATTTCATATATCGTAGAATTATTGTGCAAGTTATAAGTAGACCGAGCAATGGCCGTTGTAAAGCCATTTAGAGAGTTATGTGATAATTTAAGAGGACCATGAATCTCATTTTACATTATCAGATATTTCCCACTGTACTTGAAGGATACATTGATGTAGATTGGAATATCTTATCAAATGATTCTAAAGCAACTAGTGGCTATGCATTCAATATAGTTGGAGGAGTTGTATCTTGGAAATCAAAGAAATAAACTATCTTGGCTCAGTCCACGATGGAGTCTGAGATGATAGAATCAACGACTGCTAGTGAAGAAGCAAGTTGGTTAAGATGCTTGCTATCTGAGATTCATTTATGGGATATGCCAACTGCGTTGATCCACTATGATAGTACCACAACTATTGCAAAAATTGACAATCGTTACTATAATGGTAAAATACGTCAAATTAGAAGAAAGCACATCACTGTTAGAGATTGTATTTCTAAAGGAGTTGTAAAGGTATATCATGTACGCACCAATAAAAATTTAGCAGATCCTTTGACGAAAAGATTAACTAGATAAAGTCCATAATACATCCAAGAAGATGGGACTAATGCCTATAGTGAAATGAGTCGCTCATGATAGTAACCCGACATAAATGACTGGAGATCCCAAGAAATATGTTTAATGGGTAATAATAAGTTGTGAGTAATATGAGATGATCATACAAGTATAAATAAGTAAAGCATGAGCCCTGAAGCCATAAGAGGATGATATAGTAGAACCTCTTAATAAGATATATATACTTTGTATGAGGGATTATCTAGGCTACATGAGTAATCTTGATAGAACCACCTATGTGATTGTGTAATTTAGGCCGGTTCCTATGGAATTTTGAGGCAGACTTCCTAGAGTCTTCACTAAACTGGGATACACGTGCAGGGCCACTAAGCACATGCTATTAGGATACACCTCAAGAAAAGATTATGTATGGTAGTTTGATGTCTGAGATAGAATTTAAGACATTTGTGCCACTCTTGTTGAATCGATTGCTACTTGATACACAAAGGTTCAAGTCGTAG